AGCTGCACATGCAGTACTTCTTCCTCACCCTAAACACCCAGAGCTAGGTCAGATCTCACAAGTTAAAGACACAATCCTCCAGACTGCCAGGTCAGTCTAAGACTTCAGATGCCAGCAGCAAGCTTAGGAGTCCCCATGACACCCTCACTTCTGACGTCTTGACTACAAATTGGGCGTTTCTTCTACCCCCTCAGGATATCACCCATATGCTTAAGGGTTTCCAGTCCCTCTCAGTTCTGACCTACTCGCTCCGACTACTCTTCTGGGTTCAGTAATTTACTAAGATGATTCACAGAACTCACACAAAGTACTATACTTATGATTACAGATTTATTTTAGGAAAAACAATACAAATGAAGAGACATAGGCTTAGGTCTGGGAGAGTTCTCAACCCAAAGGTTCCATGTCCCAAAAATGAACATGCTTCCCTTCACCTGTATGGTGTTTTTCAACAATCAGGAAGCCCACGGAACTTCCTTGTTGAGAGCTTTTGTTGGGTATCTCATGTAATTCAAACTCTAGCCCCTGTCCCCAAAAGCTGATTGGTATCAGGAAGTGATCATAAGGTTGCTGTCACAGGGTGGTCTTTCTGCCCTAGCCAGCTTCTATCCAAGAGTTCGTCAACTCACTAGCTTAATCTTTTAGTTTAGGTGGGGTCCAGAGCCCTCTTCAGAGACATATGATTAGTGGGGAAATTCCAAGATCTTAGAGATTATCCCCTAAGAACTGAGGACAAAGACCAAATTCTTTTGGTAAAGTTAATGTAAACCCCACAGGTATGCCTTGTTATCTCATGTGTCCAGGGTAGTGGTTAATGGCAGGACTCAGGAACCAGACTGCCTGAGCCTACCATTTACCAGCTTTGAGACCTTTCTTACCATGATGTCCTCATCTATAAAATGGAGATAAGAATTCTTACCTCTAAGGAAATGTGAACCATCAATCGTTAGCTTGGCAGTCGAGCACTTTTCACCACTATGCCATCAGCACTTCTTCTGGGAGGATTAAATGAGTTCATATGTATAAAATGCCAGACACGTGGTGAGTGTTCAATTATCAGAGAGTGTTCAGTAGGTGGCATTATTGTCATTTTATTACTGGGTACCTTTTAGCATTAGTTTTCCCATTACTTATCTATAAACTTTTATTAAAACTTGCTTTAGTAATACTTGTCAGATGACATTGTCATGAAGCGTTTCCTTGGAGGAAACGATTGTTAGGATATGCTGCCCACCTCTTAGTATATGCTTTCCTTAGTTGCCCTTGAGTCCCACAGTGGTACATATAACAACAACACAATAGCCAGGATGTTCAGGAAAGTTGCAGACTCTGAGTCACTCGGCAGGATTATTTTATAAAGTGGCCATCCAGATTCTCCAGGCTATGCTTTGTGTGTGTGTGTGTGTGTATGTGTGTACACATGTGTACATATGCACTCCTATACTTATATACCCACCAGCCACTCCTCGGAAGGAAGGTTGGGCAATCCTACTTCCGTAGTGATACTGCCTCGGAAACCCAAGGAGGGGTCGCTATGAGTCGGCCGACTCGAGGGCACATAACAACAACAATAACAACAATACTTATATACATGTAAATTACATATACTTTTTTTCCCCCCCAGATTGTTATCTAAATGAAAGTACAAAGCTTTCACATTTTTATGGAAAGTGTTTGAAAAATACTGCCCCGAGCCAAACAGGAGTGGAAGGATCATAGCTGTTTCACTGAATCATATCTGTGTTATATTTTCTTCAGAATCTTTTTTTTCTCATCAAAATCTCATCTCTGGCACTTTTGTTCACATTATGCACATATCTCTCTTTATCATTTCATTAGATCCTGAACATTAGTACTGTTTCTGATGAAGGTCTGTAATTCCTCAGTGTGAACTTGATTTCTCCTTGACCTTGGTTTTGAGCTGGTGGAAGCTCTAATTGTTTATCACATAAGCTTCGTACTGTTGAGGGCATTTCCTTACGCTCTAATGTACACTTACTTATTCTAAAACCCAATTTACTTTGTCATTAAAATCTTTCTTATAGATTAGGAGTTATTTATAATCGGTGTTAGTATCTTTATAATTCAGTCCATATCCCTATATTTTACATTCGGGTTACATGGAAGCTAAGCAGTCTTATCAGTGATAATAAAAACAACCATAGTAACAGATTATAGCTAACATTTATTATTCACTCTGTGCCAGACACTCTACTAAGCATTTTACTTTTATTGTCTTATTTCATGTTCACCACAGTTATGAAAGATGGGTGTTGTACTTTGGTTTATAATTGAGGAAATGGAAGTCCATGCACTACAAGAACCTGTCATAGGACACACAGCAGTGTTAAGCAAGTCCACACCAACTCAGGAGTCTGTGAGGAGCTGGGGCCTCACAAGATATTTGTCAAAAATCTACTTCCTTGTTCATTTCAGAAGGTGCTCATTCTGTCACAAAGGCCATGAAGATTTACCCCTGTGTTTTTTCTAAGAGTTGTATAGTTTTAGCTCTTACATTTAGATCTATGATCCATTTTCAGTTAATTTTTCATATGGTGTAAAGTAAGGACACAGGTTCTTTCTTTGGTATATGGATGTCCAATTGTCCTAGCACCATTTGTTGAAAAGATTCTTCTTTCCCTGTTGAAGTGTCTTGATTTCTGCCTTAGCTATCTGGTGCTGCTGTAACAGAAATACCACAAGTGGATGGCTTTAACAAACAAAAATTTATTTTCTCACAATTTAGGAGGCAAGAAGTCTAAATTCAGACCATCGGTTCTAGGGGAAGGGTTCCTCTCTCTGTTAGTTCTAGAGAAAGGTGCTTATCTCCTTTCATATCTGTGGGCCCTGCATTCCTTGGAGATCTGCCTGTATCTTGCCTTAGTCTTCCTCTATTTCTGGGAGATTCTTAGCATGGGGAACCTCCACTCCCAGCCATACTTTTTTGGTGGTGGTGGTAGCCAAGTCCCTCCTTTTCTGTTCACTTCTCTCTCTTTTTCATCTCTAGTAAGATAAGGTGATGCAGGCTATACTCCAGGGAAACTCCCCTTACATCTGATCAGGGCTGCGACCTGAGTAAGGGTGTTACATCCCACCCTAATCACCTTACAACTGATTGGCTAATCACGTCATGCGGTATGGTTGCATCATTATATAACTGCCAGATTACATCGTTACATAATTACCAAACTGCTGAGAATCATGACCCAGACGAGTTGACACATATTTTGAGGACACATCACAGTTCAATCCATAATAGCACCCATGCTGAAAATTTGTTGCCCGTAAGTGTATAGGCCGTTCACCTAATCTCAAAAATAATACTTTGTAAGGCTTTTTGGTGGTATGATGGTATAGGCAAGCAAGGTGAGATCAGAGTTCAATGGGAAGACAGGCGACTTGAGTTTAAAAATCCTCTTTTCTATAAGCCCAATTTAAGGGGAGTTTGATGTGTCTTCTGGACCCACTAAGCCATTAGGGCAGATGTGTAGTCTTTTGGGCTCCAGACGGTTTTGTTGCCATCTGAACCTACGTTTGTTAATGATGTACTATACTGGTTTTAAGGAGGAGACAGCAAAAGGAACTTGACTGACTCCTCAGAAGCCTCAGGAGGGAGAAGAGAAGTCACTAACCAGTGCACATTCCAGATGCCCAGGAGTGTGTGTGCACGCAGAGCAGGAGGAGTGGCTCCCTGTGACCTCGGAGGTATCACTGAGGGGCAGGAAGGGCTAGACCTGAGAGGAGGAGTGACTAGGTACACACCCCATATGTAATTGTATACAGCCTTGCATACCTTGTATACATTGACCTCAGCAGTTTTTTCTGAGAATGCTGAGGCTTTCCTGACTCTACACCTAGTCCAGCTCTGAGGTAGACCAACCCATGTACCCTCATCCCACCCTGCTGCCACAGTGACTAGTCCAGGAACAAAACGGGTCTGCCACATTGAAAATCTGTTTGACTGTCCCTTCATCTAGGACCATGTCAGGTTTGGTGCCTCAGCTGCTATGTGGTCTGGAAGACCAGCTCTGAAACTATGGAAAATAGTGACTATGGCAAGCACTGAAATGTGTCCCTGTTCAGATACCTGAAATCTTTCTTTTAGATTACTTTACCATAAAGCACCTCAGAAATACAAGCGAAGTTCATTAACCTTTTACGTAACGCATTATGGCACTCCATGGAAGTTACAATTACACCTTCCTTGCTTTCACTGATGAAAATGGGTCTATAAGGTACTTAGTCATTTTGTTCAGTTTCTTTCTATACTCAGCTGCGCAAGATCACACACTGTGTTGACCTATGGAGGCTCTCAGAGACTGAAGTATTTGTTACTTTTAACTTGCTGATTAATCTGTCACAGCGGGCGATGGAAACAGCGATGGTTAATAGAAACTGCTCAGTGCGCCCCCCTTCAGGTAGTGCCCAGGGCATGTACCATACCTGGCATACTTTAGCTATGCCTCTGTCCAAGACACACACTTCTGCTTGTGGAATCTCTGCTTGTTCTGCTCTGCCACACCAAACCTGACATGGTCCTAGATGAAGGGAGAGTCAAACAAGTTTTCTATGTGGCAGACAGGCGTTTGGGGAAACATTGCTCACACAGCAACCTATTTGGCTGAGCAAACTCTGCTACCCACAGTTAGGCTGTTCAGAAAGTGAAAATAATGCCCGCTATAACCATGGAAAATGCTTGAGCCCTGGAATTTGGGGGGTAGAATATCAGTTCCTGCTTGTATCAAGTCCTCTTTTTCTGCTTTGTGGGCTTTTTCACAACTAAGCTGCCCCCCACCCCCGCCTGAGTCCTGGCTGGAAGAGTCCGTCGGTTGGAGTGTCAGGGAAGGGAGGCTGCTTATGCGCAGTGGAGGAGTGAGTAGCTAAGGGCTTTTTAAAAAAATCAACAAACAGCAGTCTTCCATTCTTACCACTGCCCCAGTAGCCCTGAGCATCCTAGCCAACAACCAGTCACACAGGTTTCTTTGTTTACAAACTTCTAGGGTGTTGTCAGAATTCAGCAAAGCCCAGGTAAACTCTGTGCCAACCAGCGGACTGAGCCGAGAAGCCGAGACTTCTGCTCTCCAGGCCTCACTCTCACTCTGGGGCCTTGACACCAGTGCACGCCTGAATTGTGGTGTGTCTGCTGAGCCCCTCCCTGCCCAGGCATGCTCTCGGACTCCAGATGGTGACCACAAGCAGATGTCTGGCACTCTGGGCTTGCTGCAGCTGGACACTGCCCAAACTGCCCCTCCAGGGGACACTTCAGCCCAGAAACCTTCTGGTCCTATGAGAGAGAAGACCAGGGCAATCCGCCAAGGAAGTGGCCCAGAGAAGCCTCTAGAGGGTGACAGAGGTGGACTGAACCTTGTGGTTTCCTCGCCTACCAGTCCGGTGAGTGGTACAACTGTTTAGAGGGTGGTCTTGGTGACATAATTTGGAGCTGATGCAAGATTTTTCCAACTCGTGACCCCAGGTGATCTCCACCACCTTCCCACTGCACTCTTTCTCCATGCATGGTTCATATTTATTAATCAACATCATAACAGTGAATAATATTTCTTGGTATGTGAGTAGTGGATGTCAGCCAGGCCCTGTGGGGAGCACTTCCCCTGCACATCTCCAATCTGACTACAGAGCTTCTGTTCCTAACCACTTGTATAAAACCTTGGGCAAGTCACTTCACCTAACTGAGCCTCAGTTTCCTCTTTAGTACTTGGTGCTATTAATATTTTTATAGAATGCCAAGCTTTGCAACAGGTTTTCAATTGTGCTATCCAATACAGCAGCCACTAGCCACATGGGTCTGGCTATTGAACACTTAAAATGTGGCTATTCTGAATGGAGATGTACTATGTGAAATACACACTGGATTATAAAGACTAAATATGGAAAAAAAAGAATGTAAAATACCTCAATAATTTTTCTAATTATATATTTAAAATATTTTGCATGTACTGTTTTACATGAAATATAATACAATTATTTTTACCTGTTTTCATATTTTTTTTATTGTGATTTGGGTGAGGATTTACAGAGCAAATTCACTGTCCATATAGCAGTTCACATATACTTTGTCTCATGTCATTGACCACAGTTTACCTGTTTTCGTATTTTTAATGTAGCTGCTAGAACATTTAAAATCACATACATGGCTCACATTGTACTTCTGTTGGACAGTACTTTTCTAGAAAAAGCCAGTCTAGCTCATTGCTAACTCGAGGTGGCAGTGAGAAACCAATGCGGGAATCTTCATGATGGAACCATGGGAGCCCAGATATAGCCCTGTGCTGTTCAGGAGCATCTTAGCCCACAACCAATCAGGGGCAGCAAATCCAAGCTCTTTTGCATTTTACATTTGTTCTCCTCTAGCCCTTGAAGTTTCCCAGAAAAATGATTGGCTTATGTTAAGAGTGTTGGTTGGCTGTAACATCAAGCTCAATTGGCATAGCATACTACACAAAACATTGTTCCACCTCCTACTTTGGTGAGTAGTGACTGGGATTTTAAAAGCTAGCAAGCTGCCATCTAGATGCAACAGTGGGTCTCTCCTCATCCAGAGCAAAGAAGAATGACGAAAAACAAAGATTCATGGAAGCAATTAGTCCTAGCGACTGGTACACCATGTGACTGAGCCTATATGACTGAGACCAGAAGAACTAGATGGTACCCAACTACCACTGTAAACCACTCAGAGTGGGATCTATGTAGGAGATCCTGGATAGAGAGGGAGAACAATGAGGAACAAAACTCAAAATCATTTGGGAAAAAAAAGGGGGACCAGATTTGCCAGTCTGATAGAGCCTGGTAGAACCACTGAGACTATGGCCCCTAGCTGCCCCTCAGGTCTGGAATTGAACCCACACCTGTGTCTTCCAGCCAAACAAAAGACAGGCATATGAGTTGAACATTTACCTGAGGTAGATACACTCCTTGGAGAGAACAATCATGGGAGAAAGAAGGGCTGTTTATGCACAGGGAGACAGCTCAGGGGGCAGCAGTACATGGAGGGATGGACACAGGGAAGAGGTAACTTTCGGGAGGAAGTAAGAGGGGAGATGTTGCATTGTGGTAAATTGTAGTCAATATCATGAGATAGTGTATGTGAACTGCTGTATGGAAAGTGAATTGAATTTGCTCTGTAAATTTTCACCCAAATCACAATTCAAAAAAAAGAAAAGAAATCAGAAGAGGTATTGCACTGAGAAAATCTGCATGTGACCTCTTTAAAGTGTTAAGGAGCAAAAATGTCACTTTGAAGACTGAGGTGCACCTGACTTAAACCATAGTATTTTCATTCATCTCATATGCATGTGAAAGCTGGATGTTGAATAAGGAAGATGAAAGAAGAATTGATGCATTTGAATTGTGTTGTTAGTGAAGAATATTGAAAATACCTGGACTGACAGAAGAATGAACTTCTTGGAAGAAGTACAGCCAGAATGCTCCTTAGAAGCAAGAATTACCAGACTTCGTCTCACATTCTTTGGTCACGTTATCAGAAGAGACCAATAAAAAGGAAAAAAAAAAAAAAAGAGTGTTGGTTGGAAAAGTATATGTGTGGTGTCTACCCCTTCTGTAACTCTAACCCCAGCTGCCTAACAAGGGCAGAGTTGAGGGAGAGCAGCTCCTAAGACGACCGGGGGAACTATAAAATCCTCCAACCAAAAAACAAACTCAACTGCCATCAAATCGGTTGAATTCATAGCAACCCCCATTCAGTTTCCAAGGCCGTAAATCTTCACAGAAGCAGACTGCCTCACGTTTCTTCCATGGAGCGGCTGGTAGGTTCAAACTAGCTGCCTTTTGGTTAGAAGCCAAATGCCTTAACCATTACACTGCCAAAGCTCCTAGCAACATTCTCAAGAAGGGGAAAAAGATAGTGTCAGGGTTGATGCTAAGGTGAAGGGAGAGAAGAAATTTGCGTACGGCTTGGGTGCCTCCAACTACTTCTCTCTCTGGGGTTCACAGTTACACTACACCACGGAGTGCAAAACAGTCATGAAATGCAGAGCTAGGAAACTGTGTGCCTGTGCACATATGAGCACACAAAGCCCAGAGTTTATCCCAGCTGTGGTCTGGGTCTCATGTTGGGTTAAACTCTTGCTTTGTTAGGTCCCTCTTTGCATATTCCTCCTTTGGGCTATAGCATCCTCGTCATATAACTCAAGAAGGGACTGGGACCACGAACAGACTAGCAGAAACCCCCTTCCCCCACTTCATTGAGATATAATTCAC